CGGGGCGGCGCCCGGGAGGCCCGGGGACCGCGAGCCCGGCGCTTACCCGGGTCCCTCGGCGCGGCGCCGCTGGGGGCGTCCTCGCGCAGCTGCGGGAACAGGAAGTCCCGGGCGGCCTGGAGGTCCTGGAAGTGGCAGAACTGGACAATGGAGCAGGCCATAGCTGCGGAAGGCGCCTCAGGGACTCCGCGCCCGGCTAGGCACCCTGGAGCCTGAGCGCTTCAGCCGCGCAGGGGGCGGGGAAGCCAGACCGGAAGCTGTCAGCTCGGAGCTCTCCTCGGGCGGCACTGCGCGTGCGCCGGCCCGCGCGGGTCACGTGACCCGAAAAGCTCCGCCCCCGAGAGCTACGGAAGCCGGGGTGGGGTGGAATGCGGCGCTGTCTCTGTTCAACCCCTCAGTCCGCTTGCGGACGCGGCGCGCGCCTTTGAGTCATCCAGCTAGTTTTAATGACGTTTTGCTGCTGACGCGACTCTGATGTTTCAGAGAGAGTAGTGCGGTTGAAGCCAGGGGCAGGTACCTGTATAAAATAGATGTGTAAGCAGTGCATTTTGGAAGGTCTGCAAATCGAGGCTGATTGTAAATGTCCCTCCCAGAACTCCCCGTAGGACCGCGGAGCTAACGGGGACGCTGTTTTGCTCCGTGTTATACCGAGTTTCCGCCGTGCAATCGAGTCTTCACTTTATCTCCATCCAGTCAGGTATTTGTGGGTCTTGTCCGTGCCGGGCCCGGCGCCGAGTATCGGAAGCGAGAGCAGGACCTGCCCCGCCGGCGCCGAAATGCGAGCGACAGACGCAGGCGGCAGGCAATTAGCTCGCACCTTTGGGCCCGAAGTTGTGATAATTCTACGAGAGAAAGAAGCACTAGTGCTATGACAGAACACAGCGGGGAGCCTGGCCGAGGAGGGTGTGCTTGCTTTTGGTGGGGCGCCCTTCTCCAAGGGTCAGGACCCGGCTGCCATCATGAACCCCCAGAGGGCCGGACATCTCGCTTGGCTTGGTATACTCAGTATCTAACGTAAAATCTGGCACATAGAGTGTGCTTAGTAATATTTCCTGAAGGAATAAATGGGTGTGTAAATTTATAGATTACCTGATTCTTTTAGGGAAACTTTTTTTTTTTTGAAAGTACTTTTCTATACATTAGCCAATTGGAGAATCAACAGTGCCATCTTGCTGGGTGTGTGGCGGGGGTGCACGCCTGTGATCCCAGAACCCGGGAGGCTACACTGAGTCCAAGCCTGTCCAGAAAGAAAGAAAGAAAGAAAGAAGAAAGAAAGAAAGAAAGAAAGAAAGGAAGGGAGCGGGCAGGCATGGGGCCCTGTGCAGCCTTTCATATGCAAGCCTGTCCAGAAAGAAAGAAAGAAAGAAGAAAGAAAGAAAGAAAGAAGAAAGAAAGAAAGAAAGGAAGGGAGCGGGCAGGCATGGGGCCCTGTGCAGCCTTTCATATGCAAGCATAGACACTGTTTCTTTGATGTCTGCATTCAGGAGCTAGGAAAAGAGTTCTGACCAGAGTAAGAGGAGGCATCCGGGTAGGTGTGGATTCCACAGCATCCATTCCTCTGGGTTAGAGCACCTGGCGCTTATTAAGTGAGAGATGCTTGCCGAGGATGCTGCAGCCGATCCGGGTCAGTCCTTCCCCACAGCTTGAGGTGGAGGCATTAAGCTGCAGGATGGCAGCAGAGGGTGACAGCAGTGAACTTGGGCTCTGGAGACCTCTAGCTGTCTCAGTGCCTCTTAGGCAATGCATGTTGCCTTCCTGGGCTTCGTGTCTTGATCTGTAAAGTGCAGAGGCTGGGATCTAAGACCAACACCAGGGCTATGTAGGTTTTGGCAAGAGACTAGCAAGGGCGAAGCCTGGGGTTTGAGCTGCCTAAAAAGTACTGAGAAAAAGGCCCGGGCCAGCAGGAGTAGGCATGAGGACACGGGGCACCTCTGAAAGGGTAGCAGAGAAGCAGGGAGTCACAGGGTCAGCTCAAGCCGACAGTGTGTGGGCAGAAGCCAGGGCTTTCTACTGTGAATTGTGGTTCAGCAAACATCTGCAGGTGGCACATTATGCCCCGGGCACTGTGATGGGCAACCTGGGGTGATGAGGATGCACGCTCCATGCCCACTGCCTGGAGCAGGCATGGTGTTCAAGCCCATGCGGGAGCAGAGAGGGGCCAGGCTGTGGGGCTGGTGGCTGCAGGCAGTGGGAGGAATGAAGATGAGAAGGGCGCTGCGTTTGCTGTGCAGGGGAGGGGTTAGGGCAGAGGCAAGGAAGCTGCAGAGACTGATTCCAGGTCATGGTGCGCTTTAAAAGTTCAAGGAACATTATCTGGTTTTATCCCCCGGAGTGAAAAATGTATCCAGCTGAATAATTTCATGGAAGCGGTGGCAGTATGCAGGACGACTGAGCCAGAGACTCCCAAGAAGTTGTGCCAGTGACAAGGGGTGGCGTGCTGGAGGGCAGGCCATGGGGCTTGGACATGCGGTAAGATGCAGGCAGTGTGGTGAGAGGGTAAGAGCTGCCGTGTCATCCGAGGTCCATCCAGGGACCCGGAGGTTGAAGTGCCGCACCACAACTGAGAGGCAGATTACTCTTTTTCTCAATAAACATTTAAAATAAGTGAGAATACAAAAGAAGGAGTAGCTGAAGTCAACGGAGAATGGAATGAACGCTGCTGTTGTGGGTTGTCTGTCCTCAGATTGGGAATTTGTCTGGCCATGATACAAGCTGAGTAAGCAGGGGAACAACTTCCGGAAGCTAGATCTAATTTCTTCTTGGCCTTTTGGCTAAAATCAAGTGTAGAAGCTAGATCTAGTCCATGCATCCTTTAACTGAAGCATTTTTTTCACTCTGATATTCATTTTTTCTAGCATAACTCAGAAGAGGTTTGATCAGTTACCTGGACATTTGTAATTGTTCAAATAATACTGGTTTCATTAAGGCATAATAATTGCCCAGATGACCACATATATTTCTTCTTTTCTCTCTGTCCTGTGTTTGGCACACCCAAAATAGATCCTTAAAAAATTCTGTGAAATGAAGGAATGTCCCCAATATGTTAGGTAGCTGAGTGACAATTAGTCTAAGTAACACTTTTCATAATGGGAAATCAAGGACAAATTAGAGAAGAAAGTGCCAGGAGGAATTGTGTTTGAACCTAAGGCCCACAAGTCCCCGAAGCCATTGTCTTGTAGTTAGCAAAGGCAGAGAGTGGAGGCCAGCGACTCCCTGGACTACACACGGCCCTCAGCGCCAGATGCACTTCTCTCAGTCCTCCTGCATACCTTTGCCTCAGGGATGCCATGGCCTCCTGGACCCGCTCTTCCCTTTCAGTCTCTTTACTTGTGGGTACTTCGCTACCTGTGTATGGTGTTGTTTCCCTCCAGTCCCTATCCCAGAGCCTTTTCTTTCTGTGACTGGCGTCACCTGTTGATGAGCTCCTGTGTTCTCAGAGTCCCCAGCAGTATTCCTCCCACTTCTCAGGAGTCAGTCACCAAGTTCTAGGGACGTAGCTTCTAAGATGTCTCTCATACGGGGCCCCTGCCAGCCACCCCCACCCTGAGCGCACTGCTTCTCCTCCTGGCACCCTCCCTCTTCAGCCATCCCACACATTCTGTTGGATTTGTCTTCTAAGGCAGAGGTCTAATTGCGTCACTCAGTAAATCCTCCATGGCACTTGCATTTATTGTCTCATGCATGCATGCACTATGTGTGTCTGTGAGGAGGCCCGGTGGCTGGAGTCTGTATGACTATAGGTATGAGGAGTGATTTGTCCTTATTTTTAAATGTGTTGCAGTATAGGACACATTGCCACACGTCCCCCTCAAATTGTCCCCCTTGCATCAAATGCACTTAGCATTTCCGCCACTTTCTGAAGCAGTTGAAGGCCTCTCATGTCTTTATGACAGCTGCCCAGAGCCGTCTGACAGAAAGATGGGCTCAGGAGAACACAACCATGGACCATGTGGATCTGGCATGGTGGGGCTTTGTGGGTGGATCTTCCTCCTGAAAGGAGAGGCTCTGAGGCGCGAGGCGCCATCAGGACGCAGCCAACTCAAGATGAAACTCAGGATAAGTGGTGTTGTTCCATCCCACCTGAGAAGACCTGGTACTGGAGGGGCTGGGAGACAGCCAATGCCCTGAGGGTGCAGATGCCCCAAGGGCGGGGGGGCAGCCCCGGAGGCTGGCAGAGCTCTCTGAGGTCCACGTGCGGGCTGAGTGCGGGAAGCAGGTGCTCCCGCTGGCTGAGGAGCGGGAAGTGCATGGCCAAGGAGGACTGAGCTCCTGGCACTGGGTCAGCAGCCCCTCTGGTGACAGCCCTGTCCCCAGGATGTGCGACCTGTAGCATGCGCCCAGGGTGAGCCCAGGGAGGTGGCCTGAGGGGCTTTGAACGTCCTCAGATTTCATCTCCTCGGAGACATTGCTTAGCTTGCGCCAAGGCGGGGCTGGGCTCCCTTTCTCCTCTTTAGGCAGCCTCACCGGCGCCGCTCCAGGAGGAGGGTGCAGGTGGGAGGCGAAGTCTGTTGTCGGCCCAGCTCCCGTGCTTCACACAGCGGCAGGAATCCTTCCTGTCGGCTCGGAGCTCAGCTGTTCCTTGCCCAAGCTTTCCTTAACGCTGGGGCATTGTCCGAAGAGCTCCTCCTCACATTCTTCTTGGTGTCCCCGGGTCCTCTCCATCCCGTCCCGCTGCCTGGCACCAGGCCATCCCTGCAGTCAGTGCCAACTGCCCCACTGGAGCCACACCGTGGCCTGCACAGGACACCTGTAGTTAAGGGTCTACGCTGACATGCAGAGGCAGCGGGTGCAGCTGGAGACAGCCGCGGTAAGTGGAATGAACTGAATGCACACGCTTCATTGTTGCTAGGTTTCTCTCATACAAGCAGGCCAAACTGCACATAAAAAGCAAAGTAAGAGACAGGTATGGGGAAGTAAGATGTTTATCAGACAGGAAGGGATCGAGAGATGGGAGGAAGGGGATGAAGGGGAATTTGGTTGTGCCAGCGCCATGCAGGAACAGGAGCAGAGACATTGAAACGTGCGCTAATAAAATAGAATAATACAGTGCACTCCGTGCCCTACTAAAAATATCAAAAATAAGCACAGTCCACCAGGTTAGCTCAGCCCCGCTTGTGGCCGCTCTATTGTTGGGACGTCTGTTAGCACTCTAACTCTGCTGCAGTAGTTCCTGGACATCAGCATGTTTTCTTCTTTGGTTAGCAATTGGGAGGTCCTTCAGCAACCAGCAGAGACGGGACCTCTTCGGAGAAGTGCCTGGCTTTCCGG